GTCTTCCCGGAAATGCGTTTGTGGCACGTTATGCTCTTGCGCATCGTCGTTCTGCTGGTCATGGCTCATGGAGAAATCGGTTCGCACGGGCTCGTCCATGTCATTGACTTCTTTTGCTGGAGATAGTGGGCGTCTGGGTGAGAGCGGAGCTGGCATGTATGGGTCCGCGGGCCGTTGTGGGAGGAAATGCTCAGGAGTGCGAAGTCGAACTGGTGATCGTGAAAAGGATGACTGAAGAAGTCCAGGCTCAGGTGTAAGACTTGTGACGATAGGTTTCGGTTTGTTCTGAGCACTTCGTCTCTTATAACCTTGGCTATCATCTCGTGGCGGTGAATTGACAATTCGAGGTTGAGGGCTGTGACTATCCATTCTGGCAGCTGTAGCGGTGTCAAAGACAGCAGTATCATTAGGTTCATCATCATCATCATCCAATCGTAATACAGACTCTGACTCGGAATGCTGTGCTAAACTCTCCGGGCGAGCGGGTAGCGCCTTGGTCTCTTCTTCTTGCCAGGGTGCCATTTGATCTAACTCATCAATTCGACTCGTATAAGTTCGTCGCTATACATGTTAGTATGAGATGTCAATGGCTGGGCATGCTCTTACAATTGCTTCCAGCTTGCGTTTATCCTCATCGGCAGTTGTCTTTTGTAGTACCTGCTGCAGGAGGTCGCAAGCCTCCGCATAAGCTTCTCGTGCGCCCTTAAAATTCTGTGCATTATCCAACTGGACCGCTGTATTCGCCTTCTGCAAAGCACGATGTAACATGGCCTTTTGAGATGGCGGTTTGGCACGCCCCCTATCATTGCTTCCCTTTCCAGAACGACTCCTGGAATGCCCCCTTTGAGGCGGGTAAGCCTCTTGGTCCTGATCGTACTGCATATTGGGTCGGTATGCAGCCATTGAACGTGCACTGCCTGGCGTTGAAGTAACGGATCGCGCTGGAGAGTCTGAATTGTCGGATTGCTTCAGGGACTGTCCCTCCTGGCGGGCGCCTGTTGATCGCCCAGGTTCACTCGAACCAGAGCCAGGGCCAGCCCCTTCGAATTTGACGTTGAGTATATCGCTTAGCGCAGCGGGCGCCTCCAAGGGCGATAATGTTACGATTAGCGGCAGGGATTGCGGTAGCTGGGTTCGTTCCTCTGAGGGCCTAAAAATGAAGGTGTCGGGGTTGGAGACTGATGTACTTGGTCGGTGATTCTTCTGGAGTTTCCGAGGGGATGGTTTGGAAGGCGGTGGAGAGTTGTCAATGAAAGTGGTCGCATCGATACTGGGGCTTTTACCGAGTCGCGAATTGGTATGGTTGGCGCGGGGGGGTAGCGCCGAAACACGACTGAAATTCGTGGACACAGTCGAAGACGAGAGACGATTCAATAACCATGAGCTCTCGGCGGCGTTGTGGGGGATTCCGTTCCCGTTCCCGTTTCCGTTGCTGCTGCCAGGCGTGGGAGTGGGCGATAAGCGATCCGATCTCTGGAAAGTTACAGCTCTCGGCGAAGGTTCGATATGGGGCGGAGGGAGAAGTGAGGAAGTTCGTGGCAGACGGGGACCCGGGGCCCTGTGATGAGGATGTGCGTTTAGCGAGGGGGAGGGCGAGGGCGAAAGCGCAGATCTCGACAGGTCGCGATGAGGATAATACTGTGATCTACCAGTCGCTGGTCTAGAGTCGGTCGATACGGAAGCGGAGGACGCATAGGCAGGTAAAGCCCAAGGCGGCGGAACTGTAGCGGTTGCGGAGGCGGTAGCAGCAGAAGGAGACGCGCTCGGACGTTTGTGGTGGTGGTGATTGTGATTGTGATTGAGAAATTGAGGAGAAGACGAGATCTGACCGTCGTGCATCCTCTTTGAAAATGAAATCGATCTTCTAAAAAGGAGCCAAGCCAAGACGAACGAATCCAATCCGATCCGATCCAATCCAGTCCAGCGATACTACTGGATCCTCACCAAAAAGCCAACAATTTCCCCCCTTTCCCTTGTACTCCAGTTGTTGGCGATTTTAGGGGACCTTGGACTGCTAAGGCTTAGGTTAGTGGAGGTTAGTGGAAGCCCGGGCCTTTTCCACCTCACCTCGCGATTGGCAACAGCGGACAGTGACAGACTCGTGCTTCAGTGAGAGGTCGGGTGTCGTGGAGATGGGGTCCGCTTCCGGCGCAATTAACTTAGTTCAGGTACAGAACAGAACAGTACAAGTTGCTCGTCGTAAAAGTTGTAGATCCCAAGTTGAATAAGGTCGCAGATTCGCTTTCTCATGTCGATAAGCCTCTCTCTCTCTCTCTATCTCTCTCGCTATCGTTCGTATTCGCAATGCAAAATGCAACACTCGCTGTCGAAACAAAAAGGGGATGTTGTAGAAGTCAAAAAAGACACAAGTCAAACATTAAACAACTCAAGTTCGTGCCAGAAGACAGACCGACCAGTCAGCCCAGCTCAGGGAACAGATAACCCAGCCCATCCATGTCAGGGGACGAGCCGTACCTGCATCTCGGGGTTTTGGTTGGTGGTTTGGAGCCATCGGCACCCCCAAGGTACAGGTACCTACTGTAGGGATGCGTTCCTCTCTGTCTCTGATCTGTGACAAGATAGCGCCATTATGCCGAGTGACCGGCAGTTGACCTGTGCATCTCCCTACCCCAGCCCTTCGGCCAAGTATTCCATGGTATCGGCTGATCCTAGGTGTCCTGTGTGTGCCGCGTGTCTGACCCTTAGGTTCCCTTGCCTTGCCTTGCCTCTAGCGGAAGCACTGTGCGGAATCTCCCTGGGCCCCCTGGACGACGACGCTGTCGTGCTTCAGTTTTAGCGCGTTTCGTTGCCTTATGTAATAATTGTAACCGACATCAGACATCATCAGCTTGAGCGCGTCGCTGAAAGGTATCGCCGATCGCGAACGGATAATTTGAGCACTTACAGATATCGAAAACACCTGTATTTTTTTTCTTTCGTTCACAAATTCCATCTGTTCTTCCGCCATGGCGAGCGTTGATGATATTTTCAAGGTTTGTTTACTTCAATCTCCAAGTTCAATACCGTCTAACAAATTCTAGAGCTCAGGCATCTCAGGGAAGCGCAAGCTTGATCCCATTCGAGACCCAAGTAAGCCTCAACTAAGCCTTTCCTTGTCGTGAACTTCTACTTACATTCTTCAGATGAAATCTACAAATCAGCAAAATTAAACGCCAACGGCTCGAACCGCCATGCCCAGGTCAACGATGCGCCAGACGAAGACGAAGATATGGAAGCTGGCCCAGCGCCTCCACCCGCCGACGACGAAGATTTCGGTCCCGAACTCCCTCCCGACGATGACGAAGGTCGCTTCTTCGGCGGTGGCATCACAAAACAAGAATCGGAGATCCTCGACTACGTAGAGGAAGCCGACGCTGGCCGAGCACCTGAAAAGATCGATGCAGCATGGTTGCGAAAAACGCTGACCAACTTGGAGAGGCACATCAACAAGAATGCCGAGCTTCGCGCCAAATTCGAGGATCAACCGCAGAAGTTTATCGGCAGTGAGGCTGATCTAGACGCCGACATCAAAGGGCTGTCGCTACTGTCTGAACATCCTGAACTGTACCCAGAGTTTGTCAGGCTAGAATGCGTGGCCAGTGTTGTCGGCCTGCTGGCGCACGAGAATACCGATATTGCCATCGATGCGATCGAGATTATGGGCGAGTTGACAGACGAAGACGTCGCAGCGGAGGATGAGCAATGGAACGTGCTGGTAGATGCTATGATGGAGGCAGATCTCCTCAGCTTACTGGTTTCCAACTTCTCCCGCTTGAACGAAGACGATGAGTCAGATCGCAACGGTATCTACCATGCTTTGGGCCTCATTGAGAACTTGTGCTCCCGACAATCAGTCGCTGAGCGCGTAGGAGAGGACGAAAAGCTGCTACAGTGGCTCCTCCAACGCATCCAACGAAAGGAAGAAACTGTCTCCCAGAATAAGCAATACGCTGCCGAAATCTTGGCCATTCTCGCCCAAATGTCCGTCGCAAACCGCACAAAACTCATAAACCTCGATGCTGTCGACTTGCTTCTTCAGCTCATCGCCCCCTACAGACGACGCGATCCCGACAAGGGCGGCGATGAAGAAGAGTACATGGAGAATATCTTTGCATCTCTGACATGCCTAGCAGATGAAGCTGCAGGAAAGGCAAAATTCATCGACGCAGAGGGCGTAGAGCTCTGTCTTATCATGCTGAAGGAAGGAAAGAAAAGTAAACCACCTGCTCTTCGTCTTCTCAATCATGCTGCAGGCGGTATCGCTGGTGTGGACGTCTGTCAAAAGATTGTCGAGGCTGGTGGTCTCAAGGGCCTTTTCACGCTCTTCATGAAGACGCAAGATCATCGACTAGCAGAACATCTCGTTGAGATCTTCGCTTCAATGCTGCGCCTTCTACCAGCTAATTCCGCGGAGAGGATAAGAACACTAGCCAAGTTTGTGGAAAAGGACTACGAAAAGATCTCCAAACTCATCAAATTCCGACGAGACTACGTCGCTCGCATCTCACTAGCAGAGCAGCAAAACGACGCTGAGAAAGCCACTACTTCAGAAGATGACCGGGAAGCAGCAGAGCTAGAATGGCTATCGCGGAGAATCGACGCCGGCCTCTTAACACTACAGACCATTGATACGGTTCTCGCTTGGTTAGTAGCAGAAGACACAGGAGCAGCACGCAAGATCAGGCAAATCCTCGCAGAGCGAGACGAAAAGGTCTCTGTAATCGGTCGTACACTAAAGGAGCAGCTGGACGCTCTGGACACAACGGAGGAGAACCAGGATCTAAGGGACATGTTGAGCACTCTAGTCGAGTTTGTCCAGTGAAAAATAACTTAATAATTCAAAATGGGCGTTTCCTTTTAGAAAGGGAAAACGCTGGCAGGGCGGACCACGCAATTTGGTCTTTGTAACACAAATCCTCCTCGTCTATTTGCATCTCCTCTCCTCGTGTGTCAAGCTGAAACGCTCGTAATTATAAACATGTGCGCGGGTGCTCCGTCGTTCAGGACTTGGTGGGGGCGACGGGGTTGACGTCGAAGACGGAGCTGAGGAGGTTCTTGATGACCTGAGCTTGCCCCTTCTTGCCAGCCTCCTGGATGCTCTTGATTTGCTTCTCGGCTTCCTGGTTGGCCTCGGCCTCGGCTTGCTCGTTGCCCTTGCTGTGCTGTACAACCGTCAGTATTATTCCATCGTTGTCGTAGACCGTATCTCGCGCAGATGGACGGTAAGTCTTTTGGGTGGAAGCATCGTACCTCGGCCTCGAATTTCTTATATTCGTCTTCCTTCTTAGCCTTGTAGTCGGTTATCTCTTGCTTGGCCTCATCGCGAGCTTCCCTGACGCGCTTGGTACGGTCTATCGTTCGGCACTATTAGACAGGTGATTCATCGGTTCGTGAGGAAATGGCGCTTACATTCTCGGGCTGTGAATCGTTGTCAGTTTAGCTACAAACAAGGCGGGGAGATGAGATTTTAGCGCACCTTTCTGGACAATCTTGGAAGCATCTTGCTCAGCCTGACAGCACAGATTAGTTTCCCATTCGATGGCAGTAAAAGCGCTTGATGCAGCATACGTTGAGCAGCTGTTGAATACCAGCTGAGTTCTGGGCAGACTACGAATCATTAGCCATCATCCTCCATCCTATTCGCGAAGCATCTAACCATGACGTCGTAGTATCAAACGGGACGATAAAGCGATCGGTTCGGTGGGGGATATTATCGTGTGATCAGGTTCGAGGGTGTTCGTGATGGCGTCGTTGTTGATGGGAGTTGATGTTGTGAATGGTTGCATACAAGCACTTGATGGAGGATTACGTCGGGTGCTGAGCTCAGGCAGCTGATTCGCAGGTACCGCTAGGTAAGGTACGTTACTTGTTTGGGGGGAGCTACAGCGCTTAGCGCGTGTGGGAACCGCCAGAGACGCTGTGCGCTTGAAACGTCATGGGCTGACAAAGTCCCTTCTTTTGCGACTCGATCATAATCTTTCCCAAGAAATATTGTACTCAAATTGTCTTTAGTCGAGTCAATTGACCTGTCGGAAACCGATCAATTCCCCTAGCGATCTATAAACTCCCCGTTTCCGACCCCGAAGAAGACCTTGAGGCCACCATGTCTCGAGCATCAAAGCTCACCCTGCTGGGTACATCGCTCCTCACAGTCTGCACAGTCGTGGGCGTACATTTCCAGCAAAAGTTCGAGCAAGCCGTACGTTTCCCACTGCTCAATTGACTCTCCAATCCATCACCAAGATCTCCGAACTAACCATGATCGCAGGCCATGCACGAGGGCGTCGTTCGAGACATGGAACAGCAACGAATCAAGCGAGAAAGACAATTGGACTTTGACTTGCAGAAGCAGCTCGAAGCAGAATACAAGCGCGAGCAGACAGTGCACGACTCGATAGAAGCAGCGGACAAGGGTCTTCCGAATCGATGACACCAAGAGCGGAGGGAAAAGTGAATTGGAAAAAGTGTACTATCAGCATACTCCTCTCTAGCGACTACGGCGCCATTAAAGATTTTTGTTGCATCAATGCATTTCGTTGTTTCTGCTATATTTCCTAACGAATTGGCTATTTTATACATGATGAACCTCCCCAAACATTACAAAGCTCAGGCAAGCTGATCCTGTCTTGCAGCGCTACCAAAGCTTTCCCTCTCCAATATTTTATGCGTCATCAATCTTTTTTCGTAAGCAATCTAAACTATCGGTTTGAAACTCCAGATCTGTTGGTAAACATTCTTGCGGCGATGTTCATAGCCTGCAGCTCCTGGAAGAGCAGCTTGGCAGCGTAAGGAATATGGATTTGCGCAATCTTGGTCTTGTTCTTGCAAGGTCGGCATTCAAATGACTGTTTGGAAAGGTTTCTGAGACATGTTAGCTCTTATTCATCAGTGTTTGTAGGGATACTTACGCAATTGGTGTCATGAGTCCACAAATCTCGCAGACGTGGACACGGAAAGCATCCGACACCTCAAACAGACGCTCCTTCAGAAAAGCAGCAGCACCGTGAGCAATCATACAGTCACGTTCCATTTCTCCGAATCGGAGACCACCATCACGAGCACGACCCTCGACAGGCTGTCGGGTCATGATCTGGACTGGACCACGAGCACGAGCGTGAATCTTGTCGTCCACCATGTGACGAAGACGCTGGTAGTAGGTAGGTCCGAAGAACACCTGGGCACGGAGCTTTCGTCCAGTGTGACCGTTGTACATGACCTCGAAACCTCGAGATTGGTAACCGTGCTTCCTCAGAAGTTCAGAGACTGAATCGACTGTGACATCAGTGAACGGTGTAGCATCACCCTCCATACCTTCCAGTGTTGAAACCTTGCTAAGAAGACACTCAATCAAATGGGCAATTGTCATTCGCGATGGAATGGCGTGAGGGTTGATAATGATATCGGGAGTGAGACCTTCTCGGCTGAAAGGCATATCCTCCTGTCGATATGTAACACCGATTGTACCCTTTTGACCGTGACGAGAAGCAAACTTGTCACCAATTTGAGGAATCTTGGTGGTTCGTACTCGAACCTTGACGTACTTGACGTTATCGGCGTTGACTGTCAGAATGACCTGATCAACGATACCGTTCTCAGTACTTCGCAGTGGTGTCGAGATATCACGACGCTGGTGCGATTGAGTTCTTGTGCCAAGGTCTTGGTTTTCTTGGTCGATGGGTGCAGTCTTGCCAATAATGATATCTTCACCTGACACACGGACACCAGGCGCCACGATACCATCCTCATCAAGCTTGTCGTACGTTCCATGCTTCATTCGGAGTGTTGTCTGCTGGAAAGGCTTCTCAAAGATCTCAGTGTAATTGAGACCAACCTTCTTCTCTTGATCTGAGTACGATCGGAAGAACAGACTTCGGAACAGACCTCGATCGATACTACTCTGGTTCATAATGACGGAATCTTCCTGGTTATAACCTGAGTAGCAAGCAATTGCGACAATGGCATTTTGACCAGCTGGCAATTCACGGAACTTGAGGAACTCCATGGATCGGGTAGTGGCAAGAGGCTTTTGAGGGTAGTAAAGAATGTTGGCCATGGTGTCCATGCGGCGAGAGTAATTTGTCAAGAAGAAACCCATGGCTTGTTTACCCATAGCAGATTGGTAGGTGTTACGAGGAGACTATTGCTGTTAGTTGAGTCCATGCATGGCCATAGGACATACATACCTGGTTGTGATCGGGGAAAGGAATGATACTGGCACAAATACCGAGAATCATACTGGGGTGAATCTCACAATGTGTGTACATGTGAGTTGTGGGGTTGACCTTTGTCTTCAATCGCTTGTTACGGTCCTCTTCCTGTTCCCTCTTCTCTGCCTCTGCCTTGGCCCGTTTCTCTTCTTCCGTGAGTGTAGCTTCATCATTCTTTTGCTCACGATAGAGTTCGAGATCCTCTGGCGTCATGCAAATCATGGCTGTCTCTTCTTCCTCAGCGTCGAGATACTCGACGGCTCCTTCGCGAATCAAGCCATCCCATCCAAACTTGTCAGCGGGGTTGGCAGGTGGCTCCGCCTGCTCTTGGGCTAGCCTGTTGACATGTTCTTTTGTCAACACTAGTTGTCCCTTGGTGATGTTGTTCTCATAGTCATCTTCCTGGTGGACTGTAAAGACAGGTCTCATGACACGACCAGCGTCAGAGAAAATCTTGAATTCACGGTCTCGAATATCACGAACAAGTGATACTTCGAACTGGACGTACGACTTTCGTCTTGTGTCCAAGACCTGATTCACGAGATGCTTGGGGTCGGCGTGAACACCAACCCAGCTACCATTGACGAAAATCTTCGTAGCGTGGGGATATCTTGTTGGCTCGTACTCCTCAACGACTTCCATACCTCTGTTGATCATGAATTCAATAAGAGGATCGGCTGGAGAGCCGACACTGACATAACACATCAGAGACAAGTTTTTGACCAGACCACAAGCTTGACCCTCAGGCGTTTCGGCAGGACACACCAGACCCCAGTGAGTATTGTGAAGCTGTCGAGGCTTGGCCAATTTACCATCTCGTCCAATGGGAGTATTGGTTCGGCGCAAATGTGAAAGAGTAGAGGCGAAAGTATATCTGTTCAACACCTGAGAGACACCAGCTGTCGAGCTTGCTGCCTTCTTCTGGTCACCCCAGTTACCAGTGGCCAAAGAGTACTTGAGACCGTTGGAAAGCGTTGATGGCTTGATAGCGACAGTCAGGTTGAAGTTTCGGTTGCTTTCAACACATCGCTTGAGGTAGTTGGAGAGCTCAGTGTTTATCCTTCGAATGATACCACGGAAGAGCTTCGCCAGTAGAGGACCAGCCAAATCAAGTCGCTTCTTGCCAAAGTGATCACGATCATCGGGCTCACGACGTCCAAGAGCACACTGCAGAAGCTTGTGCACCATGTAACCCAAGAAGAAGGCCTTACGTGTCTCGCTACCCTCTGATTGAGAGATATGAGGTAGGGTCTCTTTTTGGAGAATATCCTTTGCAACACGAACACGCTTCTCACGACCCAGACTAGCCTGGTCTCTGTTTCCACGCTTTCCGATAAAGTCAAGAGCAACTTCTCGGTCCTGAACACAGAAAGCCTCCTCAATACAAGGGCGAAGCATTTCCAGCATCTGGCTATCGTTGCGGTCGTAACAAATGTGGTTCAGAATATCCTCATCAGACACAACACCAAGAGCTCGGAAAACGATGGCGACAGGAAGATCTGCCTTGACAAAAGGCAGGGTAGCCTGGATAGTCTGGCCAAAGCCACCGCGCGCAGAATCTCCCTTGCCGTAAAGCTTCATCGTAAGACTAGAGATAAGACGAGAACCCTTCTCAAGAGCACTGCGGATTTCAGCAGTGTAGGTGAAAGGACTAGGCTGGGCCTTCTTGAAGACTTGAACGATGTTGGCCGCAGAACGTTCCTGGGCGATCAGGACCTTCTCACTACCGTTGATAACGAAGTAACCGCCCTGATCATAAGGACATTCATTGAGCATGAAGAGGTCTTCGTCGGAATGGCTGCTGAGATGGCAAATCTTGGACTTGACCATGATGGGCATCTTTCCGATAAAGATCATCTCCGAAGGCTCATCCTCAGTTTTTATGCTTCCAGCGTCCTCCTCAACTTCCCATACCAGCTTTGTGGGGTTTTCACCGGTTCGCTTGTACTCGGCCTGCTGCTCATCGTCCATCTCGTGCAGAGGGATCTCCTTGTCGACTGCGACGGAGACTTTCTTGGTGATCTTGAGGTAGGTCGGCGCGGCGTAGGTGAGGTTGCGGTCACGACATTCGTAAGGTAGGAGGTTGGTCACAGTTCCATCCGTCTCGCTCATAGAGGGACGTGACACCATGACGCTCCCGAACTTGATCTCATATCGTCGCAAAGCGATGTTGACTCCAGGAGGCGCAGGAGGGTTGTGCTGGTCGAGGGTGATGGTGGAGTACTCATTGACGAGATCCTGCACCATTGTCTGGGTGAACTCATCGAAGGAGTCGGTCTGTTGCGATGCAAGACCCTTTGTCTCGAAGAAGGACGAGATTACGGTCCAGCAGTCCTCGGGGGTGATACCCTCGTCGTAGCCATAATCGTAGTCGGATTCGTTCTCGTAGTCGTCCATGATGTCGGTATTTGTCGCTATAAATACAGTGATCGAGTTCTCGGGGTATTAAAAG